TAAGATGTCTTGCTGGCGTTTGGTGGGGTAGCCATCCAACTTCGTTAAGATTGCTTTACATTGCACTTGTAAGAAGCATATTAGATTATGGAACTTTTTTGTTGGAGCCAGGCAATGCTAGCGCCTTTCAGAAATTGGATGGTATTCAGTCAAAAGCCTTACGAATAATTTCTGGTGCCATGAGGTCTAGCCCTATATGCGCGTTACAGGTTGAATGCAATGATCCTCCATTACACCTTCGTAGACAGTATTTAGCCGACAGATATTTTTATAAGGCCGTTCAATTGACGAACAACCCCGTTATAGAAAAATTAAGAATTTTGTCAGAAAAGGTAATTACAACTAGTTATTGGTCTCATAAGAGACTTCCACCACTTGTTAAAACCTTTAATAGATATAAAGCTGAAGACATTCCTGTTCATCACTTCCATATTCCTCCTATCTTTAACACAGATTATGATGCTTTATCTATTAACCCTAATATAATTTATAACCTCCACATCGACGATAAGGATAATGCAAATGTCTACTTTAATGCTATAGTAAGTGAGACCTGGTACCAGTGGCACAAAATATTCACTGATGCGTCTAAAACCGCACAGCAGGACGTTGGAGTTGGAATCTTCCACAGCAACTACAAGATTCAACAAAAAATACGTCTGCCTCCACAGACTTCAGTTTTTACTGCCGAGTGCCTCGGTATCTACAAAGCAGTAGAATATATAAGACTGGCTAAACTAAAGCAAACAATTATTTTTACTGACTCTTTAAGCTCATTATATGCGCTAGCAAAATTCCCTTTTAGATCAAAAAATTATCCTTTAATCTTAAAGACAAGGGAGTTGCTTTATTTAAGCATATTAAAAGGATATTCGGTTTCTTTTGCTTGGGTACCTAGCCATTGTGGCATAATTGGTAACGAATATGCCGATTATCTCGCTCGAGACGCAGTAAAATGTGGTGATCTTTATTATTATAAGAACTATTCTCATGATTTAATTAATATGTCACAAACAACATTACAAGATTCATGGTCCAGGTTATGGGTGGAGAGTAATAAATCAAAAGCTATGTACTATCGCTCATTACAACCAACTTTACTTACTAAACCTTGGTTTTGCAAATTAAGGTTTAGTAAATTAGTTACTACAATTTTAATCCGAATGCGCCTCGGACATGTTTGTACTCCTGATCGTTTGGCAAAATATGGTATAATAGATACGTCCACATGTGAATGTGGCGAGGTTGATGCTGACGTTAACCATATTTTCTTTTCTTGCCCCAGATATGACAGAACCGCCTTTTTAGATTCATTGAAGACAGCAAATATTCCTTTTCCTACGTCCATTCCCTCCCTTCTACATAATATTAATCCTGATGTATACATATGTTTATCCAAGTTTATCAGAAAAAATGATATAAAAATTTAGTATATCTATATATTTATATTTTTACTATAGTTCCATTATTTACCTATATTTCCCTACCTACTCAACTGTTGTTCCTTTTTCTTGTTTGTCGCAAATCTCCCTTTTTTTTCTTGTTCATATCGTTTCCTTATTTTTTCCCATCTGCAACTACCACATATCCATGTACCAACTATCCATATTCCGCTCCTTAAATCGATCAAGTTTAATCGATTTGCTACCCAATTAGAACAGATGAAACTTGCATATGGCAATTGGCAACATTAGTCGTCATGCCATAATAAACGAAGAAGAAGAAGAAAACACATGGTATTACTTCCTCTTATAGACCTATATCATTATCATCTTGTTTAGGGAAATTATTTGAAAATATGTTAAAGTTCCGACTAGATTACTTTTCAGAAACCAACAAGTTGATTCCTCCAATCCAACATGGGTTTAGAAAGGGTAAGAGTTGCTCTGAAAGCTTTGTATCATTTGTTCATGATATTAAACAAGTCAAACTCAGTCACTCTAACATGATCTGTGTTTTCTTGGATGTCAAGGGTGCTTTCGACAATGTTAATATTGAAGTTCTTGTACAAGTACTGCACAACAGTAATATACCACTAAAAACAATAAAATGGCTCTATAAGTTTTTAACAAAAAGAACAGTGTATGTGAAATTCAATAATAAATTATATGGTCCCAAGATTGCCAATAAGGGCACAATGCAGGGAGCCACTGTATCTCCTTTATTATATAACTTGTATACTTCGGAAATTTTAAAGTATGTAAATACAGAAAATGTGAATATATTGCAATTTGCTGATGACTTGCTTTTGTACAGTACCAATCAAAATATAAATATTGCACAAAACAACATTAACAATGCCTTAGAGCAGTTACAATACTATTACAACAACAAGCTTAAATTAGATATAAGTTCAGAAAAGAGTTCTGTTTTAATTTTCAGTAAAACTAATTGTGATATAAAAATTTCATACAATAATATAGAGATTCCTATTGTCAGTCAACATAAATTTTTAGGAGTCATCATCGATAACCAGCTAAAATTTGACAAACATATTGATCACATTAGTACAAAAGCTTTAAGAGCAGTAACTGTTCTAAGATATTTAGCTGGAACTTTTTGGGGTTCAGATCCTCAGACCATTAGTATGCTGTACAAAAGCATAGTCCGTAGCCATTTTGACTATAGCCGTTTTGCTTATAAGAATGCCAGTAGCACACTGCTTAAGAAGTTAGACATAATTCAAAATATAGGCCTGAGGTTAATCTGTGGAGCAATGAGATCCACTCCTATCAACTCATTAGAAATTGAAACATGTATACCTCCATTGTTCTTGAGACGTCTGCAATTAGCTATGAAATTCAATCTTAAGGTTTTGTCTTCTAATAATATCCTTACAGAACAGTTCAATCGAATGTCACAACTTTTACAATCAATGGCAGCCCCAAACATTACTGTTGATTCACTGCTCAATAATCCTGAAATGATAACAATATTCACTCATGTAAAAAACAACTGTTATGGAATTCATAACAGTGAAATGTGGCCAACATATACATGCCCATTTAAAAGTTTAATAAATGTTGATTCACTTAATTACCATTTGAACAATATTTTTAAAAACAACGACTTTTTACAATTTAAGCACAACCATATGAATTATTACTTTATTTATACTGATGGTTCTAAAGACAATAATAATGTTAAATCAGCCCATTATGATCCCCAGGCTGGTTACTCTAAATTTTACAGACTTCTACAGTCACTTTAAAGAAATTTCAAGACAACTTTGGCAATCCTACTGGCAAATTACATTACAGACGAAAGGCAAATGGTATGCAAACATTCAAAAACACCTACCTACAATGCCATGGTATTCCAGAGTGAAGTACTCTAACAGAAAATTCATTACCACTATTGCACGTATGCGCTTTGGGCACTGCCTCATGCCAGCACATCTGCACAGAATAAATATTTATAAACCACTCAAGATGTCTCCACTGTAATCAAGAAAATGCAGATCTTCAGCACATTATATTCAACTGCCCCAGTTTTCTGTGATATGAGCCGTTGAATGTGAAAACTGGGGTTTTCACATTCAACGGCTTATATCACAGAACAATATACTCTCTACGAGAGGGCTCATATTCATCAATGACATCAGTGACATCTGTGAGCAAAGTCAAAACAGTTTCCCCCGCCACGTTCAGGGATTACTTAACAATAGGCTAGTTGACCCTTTTTGGAAAAAGGTTTTAAATGGTTAATAAATGTTCTATTAGACCGAAAAAAAATGTATTGCATTTTTTTTAAACCTAGAAAGCTACAAATCTTTAATTTTAAAATAGACTTTTCATGGACATACAAAAACGCTGTCGGCCATTTTAGTCTATAGATTGTCTATGCTATGACGTGAACTGTGGTAAACAAAAACTCGTAAACACGTAGAAAATTACTTTTAACTGAGTTTTTAATAAAAAAAAACATGATTTCTAATAAATACCACGAAAAATAAAGTAATTATCATTACTGTATTGTACGAGAATATAAAAACACATCCTTGAAGACTCCAGGAAAGTTGTGGATTAAAGTGCCGAAAGAAATTAACCTACGCAACTTTATTACACTTATTCATATGTTGTATCAGTTTTATGTTTATTACTACATTGTAATACTAAATGCACGGTACTTACATAGATGCCTTGTCGTTTCTCTGCTCCGCAGAGCAGAAATCGGGGTTTAGTGCAACAAATTCACCAACCATCAATGCGTCAATTCTTTGCAGATTTGTGCTTTCTGCTTTCACAAAGCCGGCATCCATAATTTGTTTAGTCAAAAAAAACTAAGTTTACTGTTTTTTTCTTTCCTAAAGTTAAAAGTGTTTTATGATAAATTTAGTCAGACGAAAGAACCCACCTACAGTAACACGCGAATGACATTTAGTTGTTTACCATAAGGGATGTCAAAATCATGGCGAATGTGGCGAACAGCGTTTTTAGTGTTTAAAAAATATAGACTAAAAAATATTTTTTAAAATTAAATTTCTACAGCAATCTTCTGCTTTTATGAAGTGAAATCGATATATTAAGGTTCCTTAGACTAAACACTTTAAGAAATAAACATTTATTTAATACAATTCGACATGAGTAAACTAGCCTATTCAGACTTTTATATATTAATATTTAGTTTAAGGAATACATTTGTAAATATTTTTGTTTTAAATGATTTGTGTACTGCTTAGATTGTAATTACATTTAAATATAATTTAATAATAATTAGCGTTTATAAAAAAAAAACTGAAAATTATAAAAAAAAATTAATGTTACTTTCTGTAATTTTATGTATTGCAATTCTTGCTCTTCTTTGAAAAACACTTATCTACCTATGTTCTAATTTAAAAATATTTTGTATCCCACAATGTATCCGACTGAAGGACTCTGTATCCAGGTCATGAATAAATTAAAAAAAAATACTTACTTGTCAATGTCAAAGTATTACGTCCATCACAGAAAATATGTTTAGAGGTCCATGATTCTTCATGTTTTGATCGTGATTCTCGATAGACTTTTATTTAAAATTTACTAAATTACAATTCCTTCAATGCTAAGATTTTTACAATTAGTTTCCTATAAAAATTAGAAACAAATGGCTATATTACATAGAGCTTTGTTCACGTGGTTCATTTTTCTTGTTTTTCTTATACTGCTGTGTCTTCGACTAGAGTCAAAAACACATTGGAATTGGTTTATAGTTTTTATCCCTATGTGGGTTTATGATAGTATATTGTTAATTTATGTCTTATTTCATATGATTTCCCACTGTAGAAATGGCATTGAAAGATTTCGTGGAACAATCAACAAAAATGTTTGGTACATAGCAGCAATAGGATTAAAAATGGCTGCTCAAATAATTACTTGCATTAAATTAGAATATACGAAAGTAAATTTACCTATTTATGTAGTTATGACACCTGTGTGGATGCTACTGCCAGTTCTATGTGTTGAGGTATTCATGCATCTAATAAAACATTCAAGTGCAAGTAGCAGATACTGAAAGAAAATTCAGTAGGTAATGCTTTTATGGTTATTGAACTGAAGGACAGTTTGTTCTATTAAAAGTATCACTAAAATACAACATGTGACTTCATACTTTAGATAATTTTAAAACTTGGCACTCATTCATACACTGTTACGATGTTATGTCAATCTCCATTAGAGGCAAGATACCTGTAGAGTTATTTATTTTAGCCCATTTTATTATATTAAGTAAATAATGGCTCTAAGTGATACTTTAGTCAAGAGCTTGGAGGTGAAAGAAGTCCAGGCAGGATCCACTGCTGTTTTGAACTGTAATAGCAATGATTATGACCACAATTTCATGTTTTGGCTGTTGGATCTAAATAAAGTAATAGGCCCTGGCAATGCCCATGATGACAAGAAGTACAAATATGAAGTTTTGTCAGGAAAACTATTCATTAATGTAAGTTCACATGTTTATGTTGTTAAAGCTACTGTGATTACTACTTTTTCTTTTTTTGCTTAATAAAAAATTGTGTTAATTCAGTTTCAATTTATAGCAATTATGGCTTTTTATAAAATCAGTGTTTGGTCATTATATTGTTTATGCAGTAACACAGAAAAGCAATAGAATACTTATTTTATTATAATTATCAGGCAGATAGTTAAAATAACTAAAAAATTAGTCTGGCTCAGATAAATAATAAAGAAAAATAAAAAAGTCTATGAAAGTTACCAGTTTTTTAACAATGATTAAAAATTAGAAAATTTTAATAATTTTTATAGCATGTCAGTGACACAAGGCCTCCCCCAGCTTCTACAGGATGTCTAGTTGAAAAACTTTGAATTAATGCTGTTTCTATTCTTTTCTACTCAGATCTGTGTAGGGTTATTCTTCCCCAATGAGCTCCACCCATCTGTTTGAGCTTGTCTGCTCATCTAGTAACTTGCTGTCCCCTGCTTCAATTCTGATTTCTGGGGTACCAGTTGGTAACAACTTTACATTTTTTTCTTATTGGTTACGCATCATGTGGCCTGTGCATCTCCATTTTTGTTGGTCTATTCAGGTCAGGATGTCAGTTACTTGGTCTTTTGTCTGAAGTCTCAAGGAAAAAGCGGAATTCTTATAAGATCATTTTGTTGTCCATCCGTCTGTCAAGACAGTTCTTCTCAGGAACACTTGGAGGTATCAAACTGAAATTCATATCTAACACTCATGTCTACTGTCCCTTGGAGCTGTGAAAAAATCAAACTTCTTAGCCAAAGAAATCAAAAGATACAGCCGTTTAAGCCACAAATTTTCGAAACTCGCACGGGAATCAAAACCTACAGGGTACTTCCCGTGAACTTAGAATCTTGAAATTTGGTACAAAGTAACATAGTAGTTTGATCTTATTTCTTATTTTATTATATCATTTAAAAAAAATATTTTTTGAAAATTTTCAAGTTACTACCTCTATTCTCATGAGTTATTAAATTGAGTTTGTACGGAACCCTTAGTGCGCGAGTCCGACTCGCACATGGCCGGCTTTTTTGTATTCCTAACATACTCCTCTCCATGGCTCTTTGATAGTATTGTCACAAACGCACTCGAAACGTAACCGCGAAAGTGTCAGAGATCGAATTTGCCAGATCACCGCGGGTCGCGATAGAGGTCGAGTAATGCGGCTCATTCTGAAATGAGCCTTATGCAGTGCGACGTAAGGGAGAAAGTGCAACGACAACTGCACTTGTTTACAAGTTATGCGTGTTACCTGCGTAGATATAAGTAGGTATTTCGCACTCGCGGGTGCTAGGTAATTCTCAATTTAACAGGTACTTTCTAGAATGCGTCGATCGGCGTATATAAGCGCGATTGGCGCCGTGCAGAGACAGTTGAGTTTCAACAGCGATTTCGGAGCGAATCCAAAGGCGATCAAAGTGCAACAAAAGTGTTCAAGTGAGATTGTTTAGGGACTTGTATAGTGAAATACAGTGTTTAGTGAGTGTTTTGTAATTAACATTGTGTGTTAATTGTGTGAACGGTGTGGTGAATAAAGAACTGTCAAGCGTGAACTGGCATATAATTTCGAACCCCATCCCGACACGTAACAACTAGTGACAGAAGTGACATGCCAGTCACACCGCGCGACGGAAGCGAAGGCGTTCGCACTCGACGGCAGGCCGGAATGGACCATTCGCGGGAGTCGGCAGCAGGGGCGCCGGATGAAGAGACCATCACACCACAGGTTGCTCACCACGGTGCGTGGTGATACCACTACTGCCACGGTGCCTACACTCGACTTATTGACATTGTTGGCGGCTATTAAAGACGTCAAGGAGAGCCAACGACAAGCTAACGAGAACGTCAAGGCGAATCAACGAGAAGCTATCGAGGACGTCAAGGCGAGTCAACGAGAAGCTATCAAGGACGTCAAGGAGGACGTGTAGGCAGCTATTGACTCGAAATTTGAAGCATTCAAAACAACTTTGTGTGGCCTCCAAGACGAAATAGAATGCGTAAAGAGTCGTACCAACAAACACCAGGAGAGCATAGGCGAATGCAAGGAGACTCTACAGGTCCATGAGAAAATGTTAAGGGACCTTCAAAAAACCAAAGTCATCAGCACTGCCATAGCAACCACAGGTTCTACAGCACCGAAGTTCCCGGTACCAAGTTTGATGGTACAACTTCTTGGACGGCATTCGGACACCAATTTGAAGTCGTAGCCAAAGGGAACGGCTGGGAGAACGAACATGCCCTGACCGCACTCACTCTTGTGCTCAGGGGTGATGCTCTTCTGATATTAGAAAATGTACCAGCCGATCAACGAAGTTTGGAAACTCTCCTCAAAACTCTGGAGGCTCGTTACGGGGATAAACAACTAGAACATGTGTATCGAGCGCAACTAAAAGAACGATCACAGAAACCAGGAGAAGGATTGCAGCAGTGGACCACGGAGAGTGAACGACTGGTGCGTCGCGCTTATGCGTCCAGTAAGACATCCATAGAAGACATTGTAGTTCAAGCTTTTGTGGATGGTATAAGAGATCTCGAAGTAAGAGCGGCCGTTCGATTGGGACATCACACGACCCTGGAAGCTGCTTTAGCGCACGCGCTGGAGGTAGAGACGGTACGCAGTGACTACAAGACGCACAGAGTGCGAGAAGTTGTTGCAGTCAAACCTCGAGGTGGACCAATGTGCTATGGATGTGGAGAACGAGGGCACATCAGGATTAACTGTCCGGTCCAGCGGAGAAACCGAACAATGTCAACCGCTACTCAGGTTGATTGTAGCGTGGACTCGGTTGCAGAGCGGGCACGAGCTGGACGTCGTTTAGCTCCCACAGTACGAGTGTCACAGGCATGTGATGGAAATAGTCTCGTAACCGCAGGAGAATCCAAAGGCGATCAAAGTGCAACAAAAATGTTCAAGTGAGATTGTTTAGAGACTTGTATAGTGAAATACAGTGTTTAGTGAGTGTTTTGTAATTAACATTGTGTGTTAATTGTGTGAACGGTGTGGTGAATAAAGAACTGTCAAGCGTGAACTGGCATATAATTTCGAACCCCATCCCGACACGTAACAGTATTCAAGTTTATCTTGATGTTGTTCTGTTAGTGACCATGTTTCCCATCCATATGTCAGTCATAATAGGATACAGGTATTAAACTTTTCTTTTCAGTAATATGCTTAGGTTTCTAGCTTTAGGTATCTCCTTCAGTCTCCATTACTTCCTCCATGCATTGTCTATCCATGAGTTGCCTTCTTTAGAAGTTTGATCTCTGCGTAAAATAATTTGACCGAAATAAATATATACTTTAACATACTCCAAAGCAAGATTATCGACTTGAATAGCAACTTTTGACGAGTTGCTTAGAAATTACCCTAACCATCCAATAACGATTAATGTGTCGCAATTGTAAGCATATCAGAGCCAATACGATATCTACTCGCTCCCCATGCTGTCAGAGCAGCTACCAGCTATGACTTAATGAATATTCTGAAAAAAAACCAAATTGGTATAGTCCTATGAGATGAAAGAAGAGAGGTGACAGCAATATACTTGTAATATCTTATCTGATGTGTTTTTAAGTCAACAACAACTCCAAAATTAGGTACCGAGTGAAAGATATTTCTCCGCGATCTTCTATAAAGCGGGCTTTTAACTTCTAATTACTTCTCCAAACGCGCGCTCCAATTCGTAATTTCGAATAGAAAACCCACTATGTAAGTTGTGTGCTGTAGTCACTTTTCCAGTAAAGAAAAGTGAATACTTTTCCTGTACGAAACCCTTATAATACCGCCATTGTCTAATTTAATATCTATTCGTATAACAAACTGCCTCATACATATAAATCAAATGTTGTCATATGTCATATCATTATCGCTATAATATAGGTAAACAATTAATCCATCATGCTCATATAAAATTTTTTGATTGATTTACAGAGTGTTTCTCCTTCGGAACAAGGTTTTTACACTTGTGTGTCAAAAAAGATAAATGGCTCTGGTTTCACAATTGGGAATGTGGAAATGATCGTGAAAAACGCTTTCTCAGCAGTAGATGTTGTGAAGTTAGTAGCAATTGTGGCCTCTATAATTGTATTAATTACTTGTGCCATAATTTACTTCAGATTGAAAAAAGAATGGGCCAAGTATGAGAAAAGAACTGTTGTTCCAGGTTTGTATAACAGACTTTTTGGTAGGTATACGGATAACCTAAACTTCACACACTTCCTATCTAAGTACACAATTGTATTCTTATGTATTAACCCTCCAATCCGCACTCGGCCCGCGTAGTAGATCATGGCCGATTCTCCCTACTCCAACCACAGGGTAGGCTAAATGATCGTGAAAAACGCTTTCTCAGCAGTAGATGTTGTGAAGTTAGTAGCAATTGTGGCCTCTATAATTGTATTAATTACTTGTGCCATAATTTACTTCAGATTGAAAAAAGAATGGGCCAAGTATGAGAAAAGAACTGTTGTTCCAGGTTTGTATAACAGACTTTTTGGTAGGTATACGGATAACCTAAACTTCACACACTTCCTATCTAAGTACACAATTGTATTCTTATGTATTAACCCTCCAATCCGCACTCGGCCCGCGTAGTAGATCATGGCCGATTCTCCCTACTCCAACCACAGGGTAGGCTTGTGCCCCAGCCAGATGATTTAGCCCAAAACAACAAAACTAAGCAGAGTTTATGGGTACTATGTATTGAAACTAAATAACGTATAGAATATACGTTACGACGTTTCGATGACCTCCGCGGCCGAGTGGTTTGTACGCCGGGTTTCATGGTGTCGCCGACTCGAGAGGTCCCGGGTTCGAATCCCGGTGGGGGCTGATGTTTGTGTGATGAATACGAGCATTTGTACTCCAGTCATGGATATTTAATATGTATTTCTATATAAATACACTTATATATGTACAGTATATGTATTCTATCCGTTACCCTAGTATCCCATAACACGTAGTGTGTGTTGGAAATATTATTATTATTATATATCCTATATATGCTACTATCTACTAATATTATACCTAAATCTGAAAGAATGTTAGTTCTTACTCGTTCAAGACAAACGGATTTAGATAAATATGGTACACACATTGCTTATTTACTGTATTGCGACGTAGGATACTTTTTATTACGGAATTTAGTTTCTGTGCGATTCTCAAATAACTGAAGCAGACGCGTTTGCGAAAGGATAATAATGTTTAATAAATTATTAAGGCAATCATGAATCGAGAACAGATATTTGTGCTTATAGCTTCATAAATGCCCATACCGAGATTTGAATCCAAGACCATTGGTAAGGCACAGAAGTCAGGGTTGCTGCCACCAGCAGGTCGTCAAAAATAAATAATGTATTATTAATTTTACATACACATATTTATGCTGTTTAATATCTTATTCATAAAATATTCCTTTTTAACTGTACAACACAACAATATTCAAGGAATGACATCATTTTACAGTGGATGATCCTGAGGATGAAGATGCCGAAGAGGTTTATAATCCCACTACTACAGTTAATCAAGCAGTAGCAGGTCCTAGTAGAAATCACTCTTCCGATCAGCTTCTCTATGGAATAGATAATCAAGGATTAGACACTGATTTTAATTCGGTATTTGAAAATATACAAATCAAATATCCACCTCAATCAAGCCTAATTTAAAGTAATATTGTTTTATAGAAATTAATAAGACTGGTGTCGATTCTAACATGATTCTCTAAACTTAAAACTAAATTTAACATAAGTCTCTCCTTCTCATTCTGTGTAGAGAATAAGGATACACTTGTCAAAATTAAATTTAGATTTACAGTATCATGCCAGAAATGCCACCACGGTTTTCAAATGATTGTAAGTACTGTAAATATTATATAGGTAGTATAATCTTTAGTTTATTTAAGAACTGACTAAAAAATTAAACTTGTTTTGTAATATTTCAATAAATCGTTTAATTCTGAAACACACTTTTTTTGTAATTTCTATGTTTATATAGTAAGGTCTTCATTTGTAATATTTTGTTGATCCGAGGCACATGTACTGTTGTTGCTTCTTTGCGTTATATCAAGAATTTCCTCTTCTTCTTCTCCATCAATTTCCATCTCAAACACTCTCACTTTCCTACAAGTTCTTGACAAGACTACTGCTACTTTACGACCACCAGAAACAGCAATCCTATACCCATGCATTTTATCTAACACTTTATAAACATCTTGATCTAATAATAAAAGAGACAAATCCTTAGCCAGGGATTTTTCAGAAAACACAAACGACTTAGATTTTATATTAAAGTCTGGAGCATTTTCCAATGCTATTTTTAAAGGCAATTGAATAAACACAGAATTTTCATGGTTTTCTGGATGTTCTAACAAAACCGACATGTAATCTGGAGAATAGAATTGCAAATCCAAAACTACCATATTCTGTTGATAATTCAACTGTTCTATATTACCACCTTTAAGTAAGTTTCCCGAAAATGAATATTTAACAGCAGTAGAACTACAGCTTTTTTCTTTGAGAATAGTGGACACGAAACATATATCATGTTTATTTATTGGGTCTACAAAAGTCATCATGAACTGTTGTTGATTTGCATCAAAGATTTGGGATATTTTCAAATTATTTTCGTCCCCTACTTGGTTTTCATGGCATTTTATATTATAAAGCACAGAAAAATGTTTACTGAAATCTTTTTTTGAGAAATCAAAAACATTGCTGATAGCATTCTTTAAAAATTTTTGTTGTTGTATTAATGAGAACTTCTTAAACTCTGACATGGAAAATATAGTATCGTTGTCTTTTAAAAGACAAGAATTATCTTTAAGAAATTTTTGCCAGGGGCTGTCATCATCATCTGGTATTTTCGTGAGCTCTTGATCTTGCAAGTATTGTCCTAACCTTTCCAAATTGAATTTTACAGGTTTATCTGGTGTACCGACGTGGTTTTCACCTTGAACATTGTCAAAGTTGTATAAAAATTCTGCAATATGTCCAAGTTCTTGTTGGTTTATTTTGACAATCTCGCTAGGTGTTTGTTCATCTAGTAATCGAACTATGACAACAAAGAGCCATCTAAAAAAAGCTTTGTAGTTACGCATTGAGACATCAATAACTTGTTGTAATTCTAAGCTTTTATTTAAAAATGCACAACATGCTCTTATTGCTTCTGTAACAGTAGTTTCTTCAAGACCTAAAATCTAAAAAAGAGAATATTATTATAGGTTTTACATAATCAAGTCTGAAAATGTGATTTTGCCTTCCTACCTAGTCAGATAAGTTACTTGCTAGGCGTCATCGGTAGAATTCATGTATATTTCTATTTTGATCACAAAGCCTAATTTGCAGAACGTCTATGAATACAAGTCATGAAGCCACTTAAAACGCAAAATGACTAAAGCACTACCTATCCGTACCCAAACAACTCCTCCGAAACGGCCTGACCGATTTTTATGAAATTTTATATGCATATTCAGTGGGTCTGAGAATCGGCTACAATCTATTTTTCATATCCTTATGTGATAATGGTTGTCCACCTGTATTAGTGTTCTGAAACATACAATGCGCCTTCGCGCCAAAATTCAAACTATTGGGTATTGTAACATAGTGTTCTGATATGGGTTAGGTAGGAGGTATTAAAATAAATCGTTATTATAGACAGAAACCTATTGAATCCACTTATCAGTTAATTTTTAATGCTGTATTTTCAATAAAAAGGAGAATAGGAAAAGTTAGGATGAACAGACTGTAGTATCAAGTAACAGATCTTTTATTTATTATTTTTTTAAACAGATTGTCCGTTTACTATGATTAATTGCTAACAAATTAAAAAAAATATGGAAAAATAATAGTGAAGTACATTCTTTTGGGCATGCTAGGGCCGATTTCGTTGATGTCCATTTCTCTTCTAGCACCTACCCCTATTTTTATGGCGGTACTAAGTTCGCTGGGTCAGCTAGTATATCTATATATATGCTATTTTCAAGGGTTTTGAAGTGATTTTGAATTGAGAGCTCTCGGAATTCTGGAGTTGTTGAACCAACAGGGAACAAATACCAACCTTATATCTGTCCGGTATCCTGGTTAGGCCTCTTAATTCAGAAAGAAAATATGTAAGGTGCTGTCCTACAATATTTAATTGTCTCAACACCAGTTTTTGTATAGTTGAGTAGCTCAACTCTACTGAGCTTCCAAATTTTTTAAGACCCTTCGCTGTTAATTCTTGCAATAAAAATATTTCCAGTTCATCTGAGGGAACTCCTGTAAAAATAAATTTCATATATTATTCAGGTAAAATTGTCCAATCAACTTTAATGGTTGGCATGAAAAACTGCTAAAGAAATTTCGAAATTTTTGTGTTATCCTGATGAGCTGTTGCCCTTATGTTTTAATTGATAAATATATTGGTGACGAATGTGACAAGATTCTATAAACTTAAAGCTAAAAACATCAGTCTCTCCTTTTCATTCTTTACAGAGAATGACAAGGATACACTGTTGTCAAATTTAAGTTAAGGTTTAGAGAATCTTGCCAGAATCCCATTGTTTTATTAATATCATAATAATTGTGATACCTACCTAACATTAAGAGTTCTAACAAATCAGCAGATACTCCCCCTTCAGGTACAAATGTAGCATAATAAGCCATTTTTGTATCCATTTCTAAAAGTATATGTTCCCATGCTTCAGTTATTGATGTCATAGTTTGATCTAAGTATGTGATCAATTGCATTATTTGACCATGTCTGTTAGCCACTACAAATATTTCTTCAGCATAAGCTGATAATACACTTGTATTAATTAATGATAAAAATATATGTTTTGTGACTCTGTCTAAGTAAACAACTTGCATAACACTGAAATCATCAGACAAATTTATATCAACTATGCTGTATTCTCCACACTCATCTTTAGTCACCTGTGCTAGACAAATAGTGCCATAATGATATCTGCCAAAAATACTCATATATATTGAACCGGATCCATAGCCAATCAGTAACATATTTAACTGAGTGGGCTCTTGAATTTCTTTGCAGAACTTCACATTATCTTCTGTACCCTGATTTTTAAAATTAGAACTGGTAGAAGGTGGTTTTTGTAAAAATATTGAAGCATCGTCCTTAAACCAAATAAATACAAAACATTGAGAAATATAAAAAAAGCCAAGTGGGAGACACACAAAAGATTTCATATTATTGTTCAGGATAATAACAATTTTTATACAGTGATTGCTTTGCTAACATGCCTGTTTTTGCAATTCATGCCATGGCTTGCTTTATTATTTAAATTCAGTTTTATAGATCCAAACATTCTATGAAAATTGTAAGTTCAAAAGGTACAGCCTGCTGGCAGATAGATGAACAGACAGCAAATAGTAACAGGGTTCTGCTGTGACCCTTTGAATATTTGTATCATTTTCATCATCAGCTAATAGATGTCCACTGCTGGACATAGGCCTCCTCAAGGGATTTCCATATGGAGAGATCTTGTGCTCTCTGCATCCAGTGGGTCCCAAGTCACACCCCATATTTGTATACATTCGTTTTAATCTTATGCTTGCAACATAAGACGTTAAAATCAAGGTAAGCTGAATTTCTATAGTATATGCACTTACATAGAAGTTATACTCTGTAGCACTTTCCAAAGCACCAACTCTTGCAGCCCAAGCAATGCACGTTATACCATAATGTTTGCTTTCATCAAACTCTTCTAAAGCTTCATGTTCTAGTTCATATTTATCTAAGACTTCCTTATCTTCTATATCTATTATAAATACACTACCACAACTGTAACCAATTGATAAAGCCTAAAATGTTGAAACACTAATGTTAATTACATTTTTACTTACGAGCTTACATTTTACTGTCTAAATCTAAAATATAAATAAGTCGTTCAGATTTAATAATACTAAATAAACTCCAGTTATTTTTAGAATTCATACACATAAGATCAAATACAACTAAATAGTAATATACCTTGCCGTCTGGCCTCCATGCCATGCAACGAACTGTTACATTCTCTCTTGGAGGTGATAGGTTCCATACTTTCTGCCAATGAAGTCTATGAATCTGGATTTCACCTATTGAAAAACAATATTAATAGGATATACCATATTCATAAAATAGTAGAGTACAATGCAAAGGAAGTTCCTCCTACTATGAAGTCAGTGACTAATTGTAAAAATAACATTCAGAAAGAGAAGCTAACATTCGGAGGCTTGAAACAACACATAACGGACCGGAAACTACTTAATCATTCAAATAGATTATTTAGAGAAAAAGTTATTCTGCCAAACAAAATTTAATCAAGTTTTTTTACTATACAAATTAGAATTGTTTACTTTTATTTAATTAATAAAAAAAAGGTAAAACTGTACTTCCAGGGCCCAAAAGGTGATACTTGTTTTTTTGTAGAAAAGGTCTTTTTAACAGATTTTTTTTTCTGGCGCTTCGCCGGCCGCTGCCGCGGCACACTTGCTTTTAACACTACAACACTAACCTAACCTAACCTAGTGTGAAGTATCATCACTTGATAAGAAAAGTAAAAATTTTCAATATTTTTTTCTAAAAAACTACCAGTGCATAAGTGTGACATTTTTTTTAATAATGTGGTTAACAGAAACCTTTTTAACAACAAAAATACGAAATTACAACCAACAAAACTGTGAAGTTTTTACTTTTGGGCCCTGGAAGTACAGTATATCCAAAAAAAATACAAACGTAATTATTTTGTCAATTTTTACCTTTATAATTACTTAGTGCCAGCAGGTCTAACCTGTTGCTCCATACCATCAAATCTACTTGGTTTGCCACATGCCTTTCTTCCATCTGTTTCATTCCACAGTGATACATTTTGACAAAGTTGTCCAGATTGAACTAAAAGAAAATAAATAGATCACAAAAACTGATTTTAATCATTTATAGAACAATAGGCATGCGTCCGATATATCAAAACGAATCCAAAATCCGATTTCAAACACAAATCGATACCGAACGATTTCTCAACAAGAAAATCCGATTTCAGAAATCTAACCGAACCAAAACGCTAGCGATCTAATACCACCACAAGTCCACAAGTATCCAAATGTAAATCGGATTCGAAATTCGTGCTTTCGTTTTCGGAAGTCAGATTTCGTGCTCGGAAGTCCGATTTCGGTTTGCTGTTTACGGAAATCTATTGTTCTTCTCTAAGGCGGGATTATTTATTACTGAAAAAAGATGTCTAAAAACATCAAAAGTCGAGCAACTGACATTTTTTTGAACGCTAACCTGAAGTAATTAGGTTTGATTTTGTAAATGGTTTGAAAAATAATAAAAACAAACAGAAAAACCAAAAAAAAATACTAAAAAAATATGTAAAAAGAAATCATTTAACATAAGCCGATTTTTAAATGCGCCGCAAAAGTTTTACTCTTATCCGTAAAGATAACTTTTCTGCTAGTCCTAAGCCACAGAATATATACTCTTGCCTAAGCCTAGATTTAAAGCATAAAGGAAAATCGCGCAAATCTACGAGTATCCTTGCTTCGTACAATTAATTGTTTGTGATTGTCGTTAGCTAATAAAACCAAATCATATCACAAACTAGTGAATTGGCTTAGTTCGGCACATCTGAAATCGGATATCTAAAAACGGATTTTAAAATCGATTTTGAAATCTGAAATCCGATAAATATCCGTTTGCGTTCAAAACCAAAAACGCCCATGTCTATTGAACAACAAAAAAATCACACACAGATTACCAAGCTTGTGCTTGGTTGTCCAAAATTATGGTCAAATTATGGTGTTAGTTCTGGCATTATACTATAAACATCAGTCTCTCCTTTTCGTTCTATGTAGGGACACGAAAAAAGTATCGATACTTTGTGGTATCGAGTACTTTTCCTTTCGATACCGATACTTTTGTACTGGATACTTTGTATTCAATACTTTTACTTAATGAGTACTTTTTGGGAAAGCGCGGGAAACGTTTAACTTGGTAGACGCGTTTTATGGTGAAAAACTTTATATATTATTTTTTTCGATCAGAAGGGTACATTTTGTATATTTTTGTAAATATTAATTATTATTTAATATATTGTGTACATATTTGGATCATTGGTAAGTCCTCTTACTAATTTTTTACCGTCATGAACGATCCCCCCGATGACCCGGGGGGATTTGTTCCCCCGGCAGGTAATTTTGTCACTGTGCAGTCGGAATCAGGAATGGATACTGATGCATCCACCTCCAATAGGACATTAAAGCGGAGTCGCCGCTCAAATATTATTTGTAAACACTGCAACAAAAAAAGAAGGAGACATGGTAACTCTGAAGCTAAAATAAATGGTTGTTCATGTACATCTGAATCAGATCTTACTCCTCCACCAGTTTCATTACCCATGCCAGAGTCTTCAAAGCCCACTACAAATATAACTGCTAATACAACAAATGAAAAGAGTTTACCTTCATCTACCCCAATTGGCCGGAAAAATTACTGTGAGACTGACGTAGCTCCTTTCATTCTTCACGTCCAAAAAATATTAACATCCCCTGATGATAAATTCACGATTCACCCTGTGAAGTTTGGCAATTTTTTAAAGAAAAATAGATTCCCAAATATTGTTAACGGAAGTGTCAAGAAAGTAGGTCGCAATAAAATTGCTATTGGTTTTACTAATTATAAAGATTGCAATTCCTTTCTGAATAACAAGTCACTTGAGGAGAACAAATTTAAAGCATTTATACCTACATTTAATGTAACACGAATGGGATTGGTAAGAGGTGTTCCTGCTGAGTGGTCTCCTGAAGAGGTCATGGCTAATTTATCTGTGCCTGTAGGATGTGGTAATATAATAAAAGTCCGAAGAATGAATTTCAAAACTTTTGTTGAAGGCAATCCCACATGGAAGCCATCTCAGACAGTCATTATCACATTTGATGGACAAGTCCTTCCAAAAAGAGTTTTTCTATGCTATAATGCTTTAAATGTAGATTTATATATATTCCCCACAATACAATGCTATCATTGCTGTCGTTTTGGTCACACAAGGGCACAGTGCAGATCAAGTCCTCGATGTTACAAGTGTGGTAAAGACCACTCTGGTGACTCTTGTGGCACTGCAGAGGAGGATGCTAGTTGTTGTTTATGTACTGGTTTCCATTTTGCTACCAACAAAACTTGCCCAGAGTTTATGAGGCAAAAACAAATTAAAACATATATGGCCCAAAATTGTGTGTCTTATGCAGAAGCTGCCAAGGTACATCCTAATGTCTCCAAATCATATGCTGACACCTTAATATCAAAACCTTCTTCTAATCCCATTATTTACAATAAAAACTATAAAATGCCCCTGACTCAACACAACAGATCACCCTCAACATCATACAAGAAAACAGTGTTTATAAAACCCCAAAAAAATAATTACCACAATATTGGCTATGATAGAGATGCACACAATGCTATTATAAATGATTTTGCAATCCCTGCCCCATCAAATGGATGTGCTCTATTAACATCTAAACAACAAGATAATGACTCACAATTAGAATTAATTTCTGCTCTATTTAATTTATTAGCTAAATACCAATTGATTTCACCGTCCAACGTTGCCCCTTTAGTTGAAAATATAATATAACATTCCAATAATGGATCTTTGCAATATAATTCAGTGGAACATTCGTAGTATCATAAGTAATAAAAGTGACCTTATATATCTCACCAATAATATTTGCCTTTGCTTTGTCAGAAACTTGGCTTAAACCTGATAAATCTTTTAATATTAATGGATATTGTACAGTGAGAGATGACAGACTAGACAGAAACGGTGGAGGAACAGCTATTCTTATTAAGAACACAATTCCATATATTTATAAATATAACTATTCCTCCACATTGTGATGACATCTCTATAGTAGCTATAAGTTTTAATAATATTTGTTTAGTATCAGTGTATATACCACAACCTTCATCTTACATTTTAAGTGATCTAAACAACTTGCTCTCTTCCCTTCCTAAGCCTATCTTAATTCTAGGAGATTTTAACTGTCACCATACTGTCTGGGGAAGCTCTCAGTGTAGCTCTTTTGGTAGAGAATTAGTGGACATACTGGACACACATAATTTATGTTTCCTTAACACAGGTAGCCCAACACGATGTACAGATCCAAATCAGAATATAAGTACTGTAGATTTATCTATTTCTTCTCCAAGCTTAGCCTCTTCTTTGTCTTGGGAGACTCTTACATATACATATGGTAGTGACCACTATCCAATAATCATTGGATTTCCAAGTCATCAAGTAAAGCACTCCCAAAAGTTATGTTTGAGAAAATATAAATATTCTATTAGAGACGACACTACTTGGAAAACTTTCAAGGATAGAGTTGACGCTAAGATTAATCAACTACCAAGTGTGAACAGTAGTAATGATATTGCTTGTGCACAAATTCTGACTGACATTTTAACAGAAGCTGCCTCTGAAACTTTTCCTTCCAAGGCAAATACTTTAAGCAGAATTCCATCTCCACCTTGGTGGGACAGCGAATGCACCCAAGCAATTAAAAAAAGGAAAAATGCAGAAAGACTCTATTGTAAAAATATGACATATACTAACTATGAAATACTATGTAAACTAAAATCAGAAACAAAAAAGTTATTCAAAAATAAGAAATTTGAAGGCTGGAAGCGTTTCTGTACTTCTATTTCTCCTAATGTCCACCCTTCAATAGTCTGGAATAATATTAAACGTTTTAGATCTGCCTTTAACAAAACTTCTTTTTCTACTCTTCCTCCTACTCTTGCGAACGACTTTCTTGATAAATTAGCACCGCCATGGGTCCCGGAAAATAATTTAACCCTACAAGCCTCCTCGTTAACGTTATCCACACATTACTTAGAACGTCCATTTACTTTATATGAACTTAAAGGTATTATCAACAGCGTTAGAGACTCCTGCCCAGGTGATGATGGAATTCCATATAGTTTCTTTTCAAATCTTAGTGATACAGTACTTTTAGGTTATTTAGATATCGTAAATAGTTTCATGATAACTGGGGCCTAACTCGCGTTGCTTTAAAAATGCTAAAGTTTATGACGTCACACTGTCATTTGGAAACGCCTATGAAAGCCATAACGCTTTCACATTTACTTTGCGGCCGATGACAGCCATTAACAATTTTGAATGACATCGTTCAATTTCTCGCTACTATTTTGACAGGAAATCGAAACGCCTAAAAAAAGTGAAAGCGATTTCAAGATGGCGGGTAAGCGTTAAAGCTGTCAGATAAGCAGACACCTATAGACTCACTGTTTTCATCTCATGCTTTCATACGATATTTATAATTCAATTTATTTTGCTTTATAAAATTAAAATATAGCTACTTTTGTCTTTTGTTAACCTAAGATTGTGTACTCTTGTAGTTTTTTTTCTGTTTTAGTGAGAAATGGCTCGAATATTTCTGTTGGTGGTAGCTGAGGAGGAGAGCCAGAAGACAATGCTGACCTTGCGAAGAAGACAGTTGCGGGAGGAAAGCATGCCTATGTTGCTGCCGGAGCGAACGTTTGTCCAAACGTTCCGCCTGAGTAAGGATAATTTCCTTACTCTTTGCGACGACTTGATGCCGTTTTTGCATCCGACGCACAGAACGACCTAAAGACTATGAAGAAGCATATTTTAACAGGAAAATGTACCTCTCCCTGTGCTTAATGTGCTTGCGGTAAGTAATAATTACATTAAAACCGCTTCCTAAATCTCTTCCAAATGCTTACATGATTACAGAATCACATATTATTTCTATATTTTTGAATAAATGTGGTCTATTGAATTATAATAAAACCTTTTAACAATCAAATACTCTACATTTATTTATAAAACAGTAAATATATGAAGCAACTTATTTTTTAATCAATTGTCTCTTAACAAATTTTGTGTTAAATGAATTATATTATATTAGGAATCACTTCATACCAACAAAATTTAGTTTAATAAAATAACACTTTACACAAAGGTAGGTACTATACCAAAAGCATTTATACCATAACTTTTCAAAAATAATTTCTTGGAATGTGATACTCATATGAAATAAAATAGTTGTTTAAACCTTAATATTATACTCTTGTTACAGATGTGTGATGCAGACTTACATATTTTGCATATGGATGCATCATTTGGTGGTGCAAGTCATGACTCTCATGTTTGGAATTGTTGCCCTGTGAAAAATGGAATTGAAAGACTCCATGATATTGGACAGATCTACTGGTTCTTGGGTATGTGTATTAAAAATCATTTGTTATCATTTTATTTGAATATTTTCATACAAAATAAGTGTTTTTGTATGTTAGTATTTTTCAGTGTTAGTTTTACAATATTTATTTTACAGATGACTCTGGCTATGCCCGAAGGGCATGGATGATGACGCCAATCCTCCATGCTGACCCAGGGAGACCAGAGGATCACTACACAAATTCACATGTGCGGACTAGGAATGTCATAGAAAGATGCTTTGGCATCTTCAAGACCCAAATCAGAAAGCAGGGAAAATCTTAAATGCATGTGTTGTTTTACACAACCTTATTTGTGACTCATGTATCAAGATTGATGAGGATGTCATGCGTGTGATCATGTCCGCCAACCACAGCGTGACATACTTGCCACAAGTGGAGACGCCTGTCCGTGGCATCTGTCCTGCAAGACAGTCAGTTACTCTGTAGTCATAACCATAATTGACCATTTAAAACTGTTTACAGAAACTTGTGTGAAGAAGGATCTGTGAGCAGAGGCACCATACAAGATAAAATAGGTATTATAAGTTTAGTT